CAGTCCATCTAATCTCTGTGCAGTTTATCTCTGCCTTGTAACAGGGGGATCATGATGTAACCGGCCTAACCAGTTGTGTGGAGTATAAAATGTGGGCAAGAGGCACTGTGCTGCTCCTGGATCTCATGAAAGATGCTCAACAGATGTGGAGCCTCAACAAACAGGCAGATGCCTGGCCACAACGTGAGGAGCTCAAGGGGCCAGAATGCCTAGCTGACATCTACTCGATCCAGAGACCACTAATATGACACTCCTTTTGAAAGATCTTCCCCTCCACTCTATAAGTTCCCTCTGCCCTCTTGCCCAGTCTTCAAAGGCATACTCCTTACCACTTCAGTTTTTCATTCAGTGTCTCCCTCTTTTGTGTTAGCTTAATTATCCATAGCATCCCCACAAAAAGAGTGCCTCCTCCTTCCTTACCATAAAGTCAGTTATTTTAAAAGGTGAAGTTGTGATTTTCTGTGGCCATCATTTTGGCAAGGGACTTAAGCCAACACCTGCTATGCTGGCATCCCCTGAGACCCATTGGCATCCTGAACCACTTCTGACCCAGCTCCGTGCTAATGCGACTGGGAAAGCAGCAGCAGAAGGGCCAAGTACTTGCTTGCCTGTGACACATGTGGGAGATCTGGATGGTGTCCTGTGATCCTCCTCATGGCTTGGCCCTTGCTCTGTCCCTACCTTTGCCGCCATTTGGACAGTCAACCAGTGGATGAAGAATCTTTCTCTCTCTCTCTCTCCCTCCCTCCCTCCCTCCCTTCCCTCCCTTGCTTCCTCCCTCTCTATATTACTCTGTCTTTCAAATAAAAAATCTTTAAAATGATGAGTTTATTTTTCCTTGCTATGGTATATACCAGGCACCAGGGCCGGGCAGCTTGTGATTTGCTCACCTACGTATCCTGGGTAAGTGGAACTATGACTTACACATAGTGGACCATAATAAATAAGTGCCAACAATAGCCAGGGCTGGGCCAGGCCCAACCCAGGTGCTTGGAACTCCATCCAGGTTTCCCACGTGGGTGGCAGAGGCCTAAGCACTTGGGAACCTTCCACTGCTTTCCTGGGCACATTAGCTGGAACTGGATCAGAAGTAGGGCAGCCGGGACTTGAACACATGATGCTGGCCACAAGATACGTGCAATTTCAATCCTGGTTTCTTACCCAGTTGCTCTGCTCAGTGGTAGAGGTTGTACGCTGGTGTTGTAGCACAGGGGGTTAAGCCATCACCTTTGACTCTGGCCTGTCATAGGAGCACCAGCTCAAGTCCAGGATGCTTTACTTTCCAATCTAGCTCCCTGTTCATGTGCAGAGAATGCAGTGGAAGGTGGACACAAGTGTTGGGCCACTGCCACTCTTGTGGCAGACATAGATGGAGTTCCAGGCTCCTGACTGGTGCCTGGCCCAGCTCTGGCCCTTGCAGCCATTTGAGGAGTGAGCCAGCGGATGGCCGATGTCTCTCTTTGTCTCTCCTCCTGTCCCTGTAGCTCTGCACTTCAAATAAATGATAAATGAAGCTTTAACAAAGGGTAGAGGACTGCCAGCCTCTGGTACTCGCTCAGGTAGAAGCAGCATCAGTGAGCAATGTTACAGGCCCTGGAAACTTGTGTTTTGCTTGGTCCCCTGAGGGAAGGCCAGGACCTAGGGTATCAGGAGTGATAGAGTGTGTAGCACAGTGAAGTTTCTGAGGAATATGTCGTGATAGGAAACACACAATTGTCCTGGAGGGAAATACTGATGCCACACATGCAACGCCTACCAGATGCACAGTAATGAGGCCACGGGTATGTAGGTATCCAACTCTTCATGCACATCTACTTCCCCCATTCCAGCATGTTATCATCATCATGCTAGACTGGAGTTGAGCTTGACACAGAGGGTTTTCCCAAGGTTGGATGGAGCCCCAGTTTTCCCAGTGCAGAAGTCTGTCCTTGTCATATAGAAGTGTGGGCTTGGGCCCACAACTAGGCCTAGTTACAAAAGCACAGAGACCATTGACCAGCCAGGTGATCTTTGCAACTGGCTTGTGAGAAGTGGCCCTGACTTTCCTCCTCTGGAAACTTGGCCTGGTGGCATCTTCCTTGCAGAGGTGTTGCAAAAGTTATAGGCAATGCATGAAAACAGCCGTCAAGGAGCATGGCGCAATTCAGGCACTCAGCAAATGCCAGCTGCTATCTTCTTAAGTCTTGGCGAGTTTTGAGCTTTCTACCGCTGAGTCCTTTATAGGAATGGAGTGTTCTAGGACCCAGGAACTCCATTGAGCATCCTAGGCATCCTTGCAGCTAAAACTGCAGCTTTTGTGATCACTTTGTGGAACCTCTGCTGGGGTGGGGCCTGCTTAGGTGTCAGAGGTACACAGCTTGGTGCCCCTTGTGGCTCCAGGTCAACATCAAAGAAATTATGCAAATGTCACAAGAAGTATTCCCTTTCCCTCACCAGCCTCCAGAAGCCCCACTCTCTGCCTCTCCCTCAGCCCTGTCATTCCTTTCACAGCCACAGGAAATCCCGCCCTGTGTTTACCTAATCAAAAGCAGATTAACTCCTTGCAGTCCTAGGGATGTGTTGGGCACACTGCCCCTCCAGGCCACAGGGGAATTAACCTGGCTCTGGGATTTCTCCTTCCTGGAGTTAGGGCAGGTCACCTGATCCTTTGTTTCCCAGTCCCCTGGGGAGCCGCCTGCAGCAAGCCTTCAGGATTCCTGCAGTCAGCTCTTTCACAGAGCAGCTGGAGGTATACTCCCTGTCTTTCTCCCTGTAGGCTGGGGCATTGCTAGTAGGCTTCCTGATTCACACTCACTAAAAAGCATAGTAGGCAACTGGATATTTTCCCTCCCAGCCTCCACTTGAGCCAAGACAGGATTGATTCAGACTGGATTGGGAGGGATATTAAGTCTTCCCCTCAGGTGGCTGGCTCTTCTTGTCAAATGGGTGATAAGTATGATAATTATTCTGCCCTGGCAGAGAGGGGATGGGGCCAGCCTCTGGGCCAAGCAAGGTACTCAAGCAACCTGGCTCTGTGGCTCCTGCACTTTCCAGCTGGCTGTTCTAAAGCCAGCTGACTCCTGTGAGCGCCCTCTGTAAAAGAAAGGAGGAAGATTTCACCTGGCATCCTCACAAAAAGGATTGGAGGCTGCAGTTGTATTTACAGAGACCTCCCCCAAAGATTTCATCTGATTTTGCGGAAGACAGAGCCCTTGGGAGCCCTTGGGCAGGCTCAAATAAGCGAGAGGCTAGACGTGCTGAAGGCACTCTGCATTTACCAGGAAAAGACATGGGGTCTTGCATAGATTCTGTCCTTTTGCCACCTCTGTGACTTTAGGCAGGAACATCACCCAGTAACCTCAACCTCAGATTCCCTCCTTGTCTACCTCTGGAGAAGGCGTGGACAAGTATGTGCCCTGCAGGGCATGAGGTTTCTGCAGCCCAGGTTTCTACCACACTACCTGAATCGTAGGAGGCCCTTGTTATTTTCTTCAGTGAATTTGGAGCTGCTGAGGGGTCCTAGTTACTCCTTGTGTTGGAAGACTACTTGGCCTGCAGGCTGATGACTGTGGGTCCCTAGGCCTTTGCCACAGAGGCATTTCTAGCTTACCCTGTACCCAGTAACTTTGCTTTGCACATGGATGGAAGCAGGGCAAGACCTCAGGTAAGGAAGGAACTAAGTAGCTTGGCCACTTTTGTGATTGACAGCCACTAACCACAAGGCTGTGTTAAGCACCTGTCCTTAGTGCTCCTTACTGGGGCAGTTATCTCAGTTATGATGTTTGGCTCTTGTGGTCAATGTGCTGCTACCCTTAGGGTGTTTCGAGCTGCTTATGCATATTCTTTAACCATAGCTGAGGAGAATGTGTGGGATGGCTCCCACATCTCCAGATGGGCTACCTGGTAAGCGGCAGGACTCAGAAGCCCCAGTGATGGGTGGAGGAGAAGGGCATGGAGATCCTTGCTATCATGATGTAAGAGTGTGGAAATCCCTAGGGGTGGGAAAAAACCTGATCCCATAGGACTTAGTCACCATGGACTACCATGCCAGGGAGCCCCCTGGACATTCTATTCCTGTTGAGGGAGAGAGTAAGTAACAGTAGCGAGAATGCTAATGCTATGTGTCCCGCACAAACACATACGCACACCACCCCCTCTAATCAACGTGTATACTGTAACAAGCCAGAGTGCCTGAGAGATGTGTAAGGTTAGCCTTCAGATATGCCACAGGTAGCACCTTCTCTCTGGCTTTATTCAAGATCCTAGAAGCTCTGGAATTTTAGAGGCCTTCTTCCCTTTGATCCAGGGTTACTGTTAGTTGCAAATATTTTTGTGATCATTTCTTCAAAGTCATCCATAACCCCTATTCTTTTAGGCTCTGGCCCCGCTGACCTCTTCCCTTGCCACATTTCTTGGTCTCTACTTTCCCCCTGACCTAACCTTACTAGTGCAGTGAAGACCATGTTAATTACCAAATATTCATGCTGCTTCATTTACTTCCTCCTCGTGTCTGATATTACTTTCTGACCTCAGATTGTTAGCACCTCATCAATTTTCTGACAGTCCCATCTTTTATAAATCTGATGTATGCTATTTGCTATGTTCACTACATCATTTTTCCTTTCTTCTCTTGAATGTGATGAAGGATATTTTTTTATTTCCCCAGTGTCCTATTAATGCCCCCTTCCCTCTGTCAGTAACCCCTCTGCCAAAGTAAGTATCCAACATAGTATCTAACAGACAAAAATTTTCTTTGTACACTGTTGATGCCCCTGTCAATATTCTCCAGCTCATTTATAGACTCTGTGATTCCCTCTTTACTGTTTCTTCCCCTCAAATAGGACACATAAACTATTCCATATTTTCCTTGAACCCCATGCTGAGTCCTTTCCAGACCAGTTCACAAGTTTTCTCCCCTACACAATGTAAAGCATTGTTTGGAACTGTGTGGTTTTTATGGAATCTGTCCAGATCTTAATCTGATACCTCAAATAACAGGTGGTCAATAAGTGAAGAAAGGGTACTAGTCATTATATTTTTATTTTCTTCTGTATATTTTACAAGAACTAAGCAAAGTCATGGAAAATGTCTGTTTCCTTACACAACAGCAGACACAAAGGGTTTCGAAAAGGTCAAATATGAACAATTCCCCATACTTTCCCCACATTTTACGTGCTATTTCAAGCTTTCAAAAAACTTATTTCGGTGCTAACAATTTTGTGCCAGATCACAAAATGTGATGGAATGACTTCATTTTTTAATGTTAGCAAAACTGTTCCAATAAATCTCAATGACAAAGAAACCTCTTCATTTTTATATTTCAGCATATTGTGATCCTTAATCAATAGGATTATAAAAATGAATACAGTTTTAGAACATCCAAAGTAATGCCTCTATTTTGCCATTAAACAATTAGCACTTACCACAAATGCCCAACAGTGCCCTCCCCCATCCACCTCATTTTCATCTCAAAACCCAGGCCACCTAATCTGTGGGGTACCTTTGCTCTATTTTCCTCCTCCAAGGGTCTGCTTCAGACTTCTCTAGTGGGTGGAGTAACCCCTAGCACCTGAATTGAGGATTGCTTCAACTTCTGCATCATCATCTGAATCCCAGTCATAATTACATGGCCAGTCCTTGGAGCATCGGTTACGAACTCTTGCCACAAAATGCATAACTTTCAGCTTGCTGGACTCCACATGTGCTCGAGGGCCCCAGAAGAACTCATACTCCACAGGACTGCTGCGGGGCACTGGCTTATAAATCAGGTACCCTCTGCGCACAAACTCTTCTGTGACGACCTTTTTTGGATCTCCAAAGATGCTGTGTTGCCGCCCAGGCTGCATGCCTAACTTCCCCAGCACTTTCCAGACCAAAGCCTCTTTGGCGCTGTTGCCCATGATGAAGATGAGGGCTAATATGGACATCAGAAGACTTTTCTTGGTGCCCTGAAAATTGCTCCGAGTTACCGAGGGCTGTTGTGCTTGTGCAGTGCTCGAGGCTTGTTCAGGGATGGTAGGGGCCTCCTCCAGGGGGCTTGGGTCTTCCTCTGGGCTGCTCAGATCGTCTTCGGGGGTGCTCGGGACCACAGACACGGCCATGGGGGTTTCAGAGGCCTCTGAGGCCTGGATTTTGCGATTGTTGCGGTTCTCTTCTGCAGCCCTTGCGTTACGGCGGCGCCGACTCTTTCGTCCCCGAGGCATGTCTCCCGCTAGGTGCTCAAAGCCTATAGCAGTCCGAAGGATGCCTGTAGCCTCTGAAGAAAGCAAATATCTATACCTTAAGAAGGAGCCGCTGCTGAAAAGATCTAGGGTAACGGAGTCTTTACCACATCAAAAGAGCGCCTCTCAGTGATGAAGCTCCTTCCCATGCAAGCGGACTTACGCGAAGGAATCTCGGGGCACTTGCTGCAGCTAGAAGCGCGGGAGAAAGCTTAGCAGAATCGGTCTGCCTCTCCTGCCACGCACACGCCAAACACCAAAGAGGAAGTGGGCCGGTCCTCCGCAGGGACTTCCGCTGGCAGATAGGAAAAAGGGCAGGGCAGGGCAGGGGTGGGACAAGGGTAGAAAAGATGGCCACGGATTGGTGGGCGCTGGGCTATACTCGAGAGAAAAGAATTTCGGTATTCTTCAGTCGGGTACAGACTCTCCAAGATTAGCTCGCGGGTATTGGGAAAGAGTGTGATTCTACTCCCCTCAAGGAAGGCCAGCTAGGTGGAGGGGGTGGGATGGGAGATGGGTGGAGAGTGTGTTCCTGCCAGGAATCCGCTGCCCCAGCGCTGTTTTCTGCACTGCTTTACGCAGCGTATTCACTCACTCGCCCTGTCTTCAGAAG